AAAATATAGAATATTTTATTATTTAATACTAAATGCTAATGTTAAAATTAAAATAATCATAGAAATTTTGAGGAAAAAACAAGCTAAAATAATATTAAAAATAACTCTTTAACTATAGATTTGAAGTAAATTACTAAAATTATCAATTAAATTAAATATTTTTCTATTCTTTTGTGATCAAAAAAGTTTAAATAAAACTATTTTTTAGAAATAGATAGCTAAACCAAGATGAAATAAATAAATTTTAAATTTAAATGGAGTAATGCTAAAGTATCAAGTCTTTAAATCTCATTCTGAGGTAGATTTTTAAAATTAAAATTCATTCTAGTAAAGTTTGCTTTATCCTAAGAAATAAAATAGATATTGCTATTTTTATAAATTTCTTTATTGAAATAATTTAATTTATTAAGAAATAACTTAAATTATCATTTTAATTAATATTTTTTTTTCTAAAGTAAATGTAATATTGATGGCCAAACAGTTCTGTTTATAGCTAAAAGTTTGCTAAAATGTTAAAATATTATTTCACTAAATATTAACTTAAGGTAAATTAAATTAAATATATTAATAAACAAATTTAAATGTGAATTTATATTATTTAGCCTGAATAATATTGGTCAAGAGGGAGTAGCTATTATTTTAGATGCTATCAAAAATATACAAAATATTAATTCTTTAAATCTAAATCTTAAGTGAATTTTTAAAAAGTAAGTAATAATCCTGATAAAAATATTCTTTTTTTATAAATAATTAGCTAAAATAATATTGGAGATTAAGGAGTCAAAAATTTTGCAGAAATAATGCATAGTATTAAAACAATAAAATCACTTAATATTAACTTTTCGTAATTTATTTATCATTTTTTAAAAATTTTATATTGAAAATTTATTTATTTTTATTTAAAATTATAATAGAAACAACAATATTAGTTAAGAAGGATCCATTTATTTATCAAATTATTTGAAATCTAATCTAAACTTGAATTCTTTGAATATTGATTTTAGGTATATTTATTTATTTATTTAAATTATTATTTATCCATACATTTATTTTAGAATTAAATTTAAATATTTTTAAAATTATTTTTATAAAAATCAATACAATTAATAAGCAATAATTCAGTTGGAAATTAAGGGCTTTTCTATATTTCACTTGCTATTGAAAATGAACAAAATATAAACTCTTTAAACTTCAATTTTTCGTAAATATATTTTACCTAACCTAAAAATTTATTTATTTATTTATTTATTACTTATGGAATTAATAAATTAAATTTAAACATAAAATAGAAATAACTAAATAAATGATAGTGGAATCGAAAACATTGCTAATCTTCTATCAAAATTAAAAAAAATGAATTCATTGGTACTTTAATTTGGGTAAAATTTAATTTTTTATTGAAGCGATATGTTTATGTTAATTTTCAATATTATAAGTTTAGAGATATTTTTTTTTTTTAAATAATCAGGTAAAATTAAATTGGAGACGAAGGATTAAGATAATTGTTTGAAACTTTAAAGAATCTTTAGAAAATAAATTCTTTAAACCTTAATTTTGAGTAAATTATAAAGATAAACATTGTATAATTTTTATTTTAAAAACTGGAAGTGGTAACATAATAAGCAATGAAGGAGTTAAGCATATGACTATCATACTTGAAAAATTATAAAATCTGAATTTCTTAAATATAAATTTTAGGTAAATCTTGCTTATGCTTCTAATTTATATTGAATAATTCTAATTTTAATATTAACTACTATTAATCCTCATATATTTACACCTAAATAAGAACAAAAAAATTTAATTTTAGTTTAGTTTAAGACTAATGAATGTCTCTCTAAAAAAATTGTTTCATTTTATTTTTGATTTACATCAATTTAAAGTATATAAAAAAAAATTTAAATAACACCTAATTTTGGTTTAAAATATTGGGGAATAGGCGTTAATTAAGGAGATTTATAATAGTTTAAATTAAAATTAATTTTTCATTTTTTTGATGCTTTTTTGATTTAAAATTTTTTTTGTTCTCATTTTAAAAAAAATATTTGTTAGTGATAATTACATTAGCTAATAAGTTATCAGGGATACCAAAACAAGACTAGAAAAAACTAACATAAAAAAAATTATACTTTAATTTTGGTAAATAATTTAAATTATCTTGAAACATTAATTAAAATAATTTCTTTTTTTCATTAAAAACAAATAGTTGAGAATAAATTAAAGTTTAATGAGGAAATATCTGAGCTTTTAGACATTTATTAAAGATATACAAATAAAATATGCTAAGAATGAGTAATTCCTTTTGATATTAATAGTTTACAGCTAAATTAATTGCCTAACTTTAATAATTTTAATTAAGCTTTCATAAATTACTCTAGTGTTAAACATAAAATTAAAAAATAATTTTATATTAAGACAAGAGAAATTTATTTTTATTTTAAAAATGTTTTTTAAATGAATATTTTATATTTCTTTGTT